TTCTAAGAAATTGACGATACTTGGGCCATCAATTCGCTCTTTTGATTTACCTCTCCTGTTTAATATCTTATTAGGATCGAAAATCTTCAAATCCATGAGTTATAGTCACCTACATCCGATGGCTAAGTACTTTGTCATGACCCTGCATAACATCAGATGAAATTCAGGTCGTTGAAAACGCTAATCCAGCACGTTGTTCTTCATCATTTATTTGTTATTATCACATGATGTCTTGGATGCCTTCGTTAACACGTGCTCATATATCATCTCCCCCTTACTCAATCACCTGTTAGGTAAAATACACCTGACTTTCCTTACCTTATACTTTAGAACGCAATGAACCGATTTCCATTTGTTCGCCTAACTGAGGGGGACTCGATATCATCCCGCAAAAGCGAATCCTCACATCCCCAAGACTCTACAATGGTAAATAATAACGACAACCAAGGCGTGACCAATTACGGCGCTAGTGATCGCCTCACAGATGCCAATGGCGAGTCCGATAGCGCAGCCTCTGGGTCGGCGTTACCTCCCGTCATCACGGCGGGTTCTCGTTACCGCGGCCACAAGGAAGTTGACATTAATAAGTGGGACGAGGAGGCCTCTCAACACCTTCTAACCATGCGACGACCACCTGGTGATCTCTGTGACTGCTTGAGCCCCTGGAGGAGGCTCTTTCATCTTCGTTACCCTCCACCTCCACAAAAGATGGCTACAAATGTTGAAAACGGTTTCCCCTTACCTTTTGGTGTCGTCTGGTTCGTGCGCGACTGTGCTGGATGTGTGTGCATGGTCTTTACGTGGCTCCTCATTGCCTACGGCGAATTCGTTGTTGCCTGCATTATTTTGCCGCAACTTCCCTCCGCTGTAATTGCCTGGACCTTCGGCCTTGTCTATCACATATTCGCCCTCCTTGCTGTCGTCTCACATCTTAAAGCAGTTTTTACCGATCCGGTAAGCCTAGACTCATTGCTTTTTAACATCTTACGGGGAGACTTTAGGTAGTCAATTGACTTGAAGTCGTTGGTTATCCTTTTTGTCATTTGAGTACAACGTTATTAGTATTGTACCAAATTGTTAGCGTAACGACTTTTGCTTCTGACTTTAATTATGCGAAATCACTTGTGTTGGAGTGAGATTCTAGAAGGTATTCACAGCGTTCTGTTACAATTCGATAATTCTCTTTTCCTCACCTCTCTTGACTTGCTACTATTCGTTGATTCAACACCATTTCGGCAGTAACTATTGCCTTTATAAAGGAGATTTATGTTGTAAACTGACGATTCCGTGTGCAAAATGCCGGACCAAAACGGTAGGATTACTACTTTACTTTCTTTTATTGATATTTGAATTCATTTTCCTATTAGATCATTGATTGTCATCGAATCGGACGAATTGCATGTTCTTTTCAACGTATTTTAGTTTTTTCACAATGTAGTGTAACTTGTGTAGACTAAGAGCACTCCGGTCAGCCACTTATTTCTCAAATACGTAGCGTTGGCCTTTGCAAATTAGCATAAGAATTATCCCATTCTGAGTTCTCTTTCTCGCCATTAATATGGTACTCAATCCCATTAATATTTTATCTCAGGTAAACAGTCTGCTGCCCTCAGACTTTCTTGAAGGCAAAAGGAGGTGTAACTCTTGGACAGAATGTGTATACTCAGTGAACAGAAAGAGGGTTAGAGTTGTTGGAATTGTCCAGAAGCTGACTCTCTCACCGAAGGTTCAACTTAGTCTTTTGAGCGGTGTTCCTGACTCTCTTTGATGAAGCTCCTACTTCAACCATCATGCTGCAATCAGTACCGAGAGGAAGCAACTAGTCGTCAATTTCTTACACTACTGCGGAGGTAGTTGATCGCGGCGCCACTAATTCGTCCTAAAAATTCTGCCGCATCTGGAGTTTTATCAGCTTTGAGAACCGAATTTTGCCGCAGAAGAAGCTCGC